AGAGAAGAAGCTTTGCCTGTTTGTTTTTTTTAAAGTGTGGCGCAAACATACAATTCAGTTTAAAAAGGCAAATCTTAAATGATAGTGTTGTAGCCGCCATCTTGATTTTTTGACCTTACTCTGTGGACACTCCTAAAGGCAGTGACGTGTGGTGAGGTTGATACCTGGTGAGGCTCAGCAGGGCAGTGGTCGGCCTCGGCGGGGGGGCACTTTGCATCGCGGGAGCCACCAAGCGCCTTTGCTGCAGACCCGGGCGCTTGGTTGCTCCCGCGATGCAAATCCCCCCCCGCCGAGGCCGACCACTGCCCTGCTGAGCCTCACCAGGTATCAACCTCACCACACGTCACTGCCTTTAGGAGTGTCCACAGAGTAAGGTCAAAAAATCAAGATGGCGGCTACAACAGTATCATTGAAGATTTGCCTTTTTAAATTGAATTGTATGTTTGCGACACACTTTAAAAAAAACAAACAGGCAAAGCTTCTTCTCTCAAAGCTGCCATCTTGACTTTTTGACCCTACTCTGTGGACACTCCTGGTCACATAACTGATCCGGGCTCTTGAAATAGCCTGTCCTCTAACAGTGGGGGTTTTGAAGAAGAGATTTTGTATATTCCTGAACAAGGAATCAAGAGCTGAGATGGGAGGAACCAGAAGATGTTTATTGTAAACCAGAACTAACAGAACTGAACTACTTCAGGTTGACAGCTTTTTATATGGCAGCTGTCAACCCGGCAACCAATTAGAAACAGTAATTCTCCCGCCAGAACACTCCATGCATTCTCCCTGATCACCATCTCTACGGGATGGTTTAGATCTCAATGGACCCTCCAGCGGCAAAAGTGTCAACGGCAGTCTCAGAGTATCGGGACCGCACATTGTAACATCGTAACGTGGATCCTCCTCCTCCTACTTGCATTTTTAAATGCTTTCGAACTACTAGGTTGGCAGAAGCTGAAACAAGTAACTGGAGCTCACTCCATTACACGGCGCGAGGGATTTGAACCACCAAACTGCCAACCTTTCTGATCAACAAGCTCAGCATCTTAGCCACTGAGCCATCGCATTCCTTCACAACATATAATGTACCATAAAACTAAAAAAAACCCCATAGAAGTAAGATCGTAAAATTATATAATCAAGAGTATGCGATGTAAAAAGGTTAAAACAATATAGAGCCAGTTACAACTAAGAACTTAACTATTACTTTCTATGTTTAAATGACAGCAGAGCAAAGTCGCAGCTTGATTGCTAACAGTTGGAAACACGTCTGCAAGAATATAGTTCCATTGTTTGAGGTCTGCAATGTATAATAGTGGCCAAATAATTATAAGCATAATAAAAATCCAGCTTGACCTGAGGTTTACTTGCAATTCTCCTTCCATCCTTCCTTCCTTAGGCAGGATACATGTCTGGGATGCTGGTCCCAGTGGGTGTAGGCATTGCTGGAGCCCTTTTCATCCTGGGAGCACTTTATAGCATCAAGATCATGAACCGCCGTCGCAGAAATGGCTTTAAAAGACATAAGCGAAAGGTTGGTATTCTTTAAATACTGTGAAATTGCTCGAGTTCTCAAATGATTGCTTGCTCTTGAAAAGGGCTGTCTTATCTTTCAAATTAACAGGCAGGGACTTAAAGCTGTTAAATGCCTATAATTTGCAGTTCGTGTTTTTGACATGAATGAAGAATGGCTTAAAGCAAGTATCCATTTACTGTTTTTGTATCAGTCCCTTTCCTTTGAGGCAATCAAAGTTTATTCCTGTGGCCACATAGGCTGTGTTTCTGCTAAAAAGAGAATACATTGGCTTTATGTGGGAGAAATTAGATTTGTAAGATGCATTATTAGAAGAGAGCTAGTTTGGTGTAGTGGTGAAAGCACCAAGCTAGAAACCGGAAGATTGGGTGTACTTAGGCCAGTCATACTCTCTCAGCCCCAGAC